ACCTTTGCCAGCGCCATCTTACCCTTCCGACCATACATACATTACACAAACATCACATGGGGAAGACAGGTCAGAGGTGTATAACAATGGAAAATGCACAACATGAGGAAAGACAAGGAGAAAAAATAACTCCCCCAGACTGAGCTCCAACAGGGAGATCAGTTTGAGAACAGAAAAAAAACAGCACATGAATCAGCACATCTCACAACATAGAAGATATAAGCGTCGAAGGCGTTTGGAGGGGATGGGGGGGTGAGTGTAGGTCTGTGTCAGTGTACATGCATATGTGTGCGTGTGAGTGTGTGTGTGTTCCGTGTTCCACCGAGAGAAAGTGTCCCTTCACCCAATTAGGCAAAAGTCAACAGTCTTTGGTCGACGCGGGTGGCCTTGAATGAGGAGAGAGAAAGTCACAACACAGTCAGTCACAGTCTTAAGGGAGAATTGTTATTCCCGTCAGCTTTTGCCTTGAGCATCCAGCTGGCACCAGGGGGGCCACAAGAAATGAAGATGGTAGCTGTTTTGGTTAGTGCGAACAAACTGCTTCCAATTTTACAGTTGTCTAATGTCCATCACTGGTCACAAGTCTCTCGTTGGAGAGCTGTGAGCCTCTCCACGATGTTATCCATCCATGCCAAGATGTTATCCAGTTTGCTCATAGGGCATGAGTGTTCATGACAGCCGTGAGCCTCTCCGAGATGTTTTCAGATGTTGTCAATTGGTCACAGTACTCACAGCAGCCGCAAGCTTCTCCAAGATGTCATCTGTACTGCACCTGATGAGCCCATTCTGAGAAGTCACAGCTCACTCCATCTTTCCAATCAACATAGCGGGAGGCCTTGTGAGGATTTGAACACCCGTTTCCGCTTTCTTTATCCTTTGATAAGCCAGGGCCAAGCCAGCGCCGATCAGCAAGAACCCTGTTATCATGGTTCCGAAAAGGTGCTCCCAAACCAAGGCTTCTCGTCGAGAGGAGGGTGTCAATAGCATTCAGGGACCAATTGATCAAATCCATAATTCTTTAGGTTTTTAGAGAACAAGTCTGGGAGACTCTCTTAGGGTTAGAGAATAAGCGAGACTATACAAAAGACATGAGAAGCGAAGCAGGAAAGATAAGGGAGAGGGAGAAGGAGAAAGTGTGACTGCCTCCGTCAAGAGCCAAGAAAGAAAAAGTACACCATGCAGTGAAATGTGTGCCGATACGCTCCTCGACTGTACAAAAATGACTGTTGGGACTGTTGGGATGATCTCCTCCACCAGCATGCTAACGAAACTTACTGCTATATCCGTAAACTCGTTGATGTCGACTCTCCTGTAGTGTTCCTGTAGTAATCTTCTGATTGGGCAGACCAGTGTTTCACCTCCCTCTTGGTTAATTCATCCCTCTGTATGTTTTGTTTAACTTAAATACAACTGGGCTTGTCAGGCACTCTTTTTGGCTGCTGTGGTTATTATTATATTTGAATGCTTTCATCCCTCATTTCTAGTCGGTGACAACTCGTACTTTTCTACTCTCTTTTTTCTAACTCCCTCACGCTCACAGTCACATAACGGGTATAGCAGTCCATTCTCTCTGCAGCACGGACTACGCTGCCCACAAGGCTACATTCTTTAGGGCTATGCCTGTAACGCTTTGCCTATTGCCCTCATATTAAATAATTATTTGAATAATAATTTTTAAAGATATTTCTTCCTGTCATTATGCACAAGTAGGGGTGACATGGGCTGCGAGATTGAGACCCAGGCATTATTTAGGCTTTTTTTTTTTTTAAGTAACTGTATTCAGAATATCACCTTTTTAAACTGTAACTGTAACGAAATACAGTTACTCATATTTTAAATACGTAATGCCGGTACATGTATTCCCAA